TAGGAGCCATCTGGGATCGTTCCTTCTCAGTTTGAACACCTTTTTTGATAATTAGATATGTAGTGCCAATGTTTCATCTGTGGAAAACGAGATGAGAAACATCCATTTACAAGCTGGCAATCATTAAAAATTTACAATAGTTTAAAATAGGCGAAGATATATATATAACACAGGATGTGTGTATGTCTGTGTGATACCTTTTCACTCGAGATCCATAGAACCGATTTTGACCAAACTTGGCACATACATTGTACAATGTAAGAGATAGGTTCTTAGCGTAAAACATCGATCATTTTTTTAAAATCAATAATCGATAAAGCCGATCAAAAATCGATAAATTCAACTTTTTTCCTCCGATTTTGTTCAAACTCGGTATGTAGGTTACTTACAACATAACAAACTCAAAGATACCTCATTTTTATTTCTACGCCACTGTGTTTAGCGAAAAACTGCGAAAAATGAGGAATCGATTTCAATACAAATCGACTTCAACACAAATTTTAAAGTAAAGATTCCCTCAATTTTCGAGCAATCTAATATGTTTAACTCAGTTGTAGCCAACAAGAAGTTAATTGTCTAACAGTCATTTAACTTGATAACTGAGTCCACCCATATACTGAAAACCCACGTAAATAGCTAAAAATGGCGATTTTTATTGGTTTCTTTCTTATTTTTCATTGAGCTTTCAACCAATTTTCATCAAACTTAACAACTGCTTTATAAATGTATCTTCTTTTACATGCCTAGTAGCACACTGTCAAAATGGATTTCAAAAATTCTAAAATAATTGTGGTCTGAAGTGGGTCTTCATGTTACTTGTTTTACCCCTTCATGTCCTCGGCTAACTTCGATTGAATAAATACAGACTACTTCTATTATATCAATAACTGCATTCATTCAAAATATTTTTTTAATCAAAGTACTTTAAAGTAATTGAAGAAGATAAACTCTATTACATCTAAACATGATACTGTTTTTGCTTCATTCGATTAGAATGCTTTTTCTGATCGACCAGCTGGGTATGGCTGCTAGTATATAAATAATAGTGGATATTAAAGTTAACGTCCAGCGATGACAGTTTGTTTCACGTTTACACATTGCCTGACTATTGAGTTTATGCATGAAACAGACTGTTGTTACTGGGTGTTGACTTCAATGTCCACCTTTATATTTACATACGCTCTATCCTTGATATTGAGTACTTTAACTCATAAATATAGCATAACTTAAAAATATGTTTTTATTATATATATATATATATATATATATATATATGTATGTATGTATGTAGAGAGAGAAAGAGAGAGGGAGAGATAGATAGATATTGGTATGATAAAAAACATAAATATACGATATATACTTGCACGTGCATATAAATATTTTCTCAGTTTTTATAATTTGGTTTGGTTTGGTTTACAGCATATCAACCTCAATGGGTTCTGTAATACCGACAAAATTTTTATTGCTAGTAATATTTTGTTTTATCAAAAATCTATTTCTGGTAATATTTTTCCTTCAAAAATGTATTGCTGGTAATAATATTTTCTTATTTTTTTTTCAAAAATCTGGTGATAGTTTTTTTTTTTCTTCGAAAATTTATTACTGGCAATAATTTTTTTTACAATTTCTGGTACTAAAACCTATTTTTACACTTTCATAGTGTTTTGGCCCCAGTTTAGGGGTTAACTATTTACCCATAGCTGGGACCCTAACAGATGTTACCACCCTGGGTCACAATGGACCTGGGAACACCAGCAATTAAGAGGTGGTTCCATGCTCCTCAAAACCTCCTGATCAGAGGCCTTGCTGTTGGACATAGTTTATAGTCTTACCCAGGACGTGGATGTAGTTTATCGTCATACCCGGGACGCCTCGGTTGTTATAAAAACAGTGGTCAATGTTATATGACAGAGTTATGAAGTATATATTAGTGATTATACATAATATTCAACGTCGACTGCACGACTCGGAGTTTCGTGCAAACGTGCAATCTTCGGGAGCTGACCGCTAGAAAGTTATGAAATTTGCGTTCTCGTAGTGATGATTTAAAATTGTATATTAATTTTAAATCATCACCACGAGAACATGAATTTCATAACGCTCCTACAGTCAGTCGATATTACGCACCTGAAGATTGCACGTTTGCATGAAACTCCGAGTCGTGCTATGTTATGGGGAAACACACCTATTCTATAGTTAATAGACACTCCCACCTAATATAAGTAGGAGTAGTAAGAGAAACGAAGGTCAGTCGAATACGAAAGTAGTCAGCGACCACAACAAGATTACTATGCGTAATACCTATTATATCAAGTTCCTAACGTTTTGTACGTCGAACTATTTAGGACCGATTTAGTACAAACTAGCAGTAGAGCCCGGCGTTGCCCAGGGATGTAACAATAAGAGATAGATCAAGTATCGACCATCATAAAGACTGAAAAATAAAATTGACAAAGATTATTGTTTAAGGTTGACGGACACGCATGTCTTAATTAGTCTTATTTTGTTTTTTTTTAAAAAATTGGTCAAACCCAAACTCAAACAAAAACATTGTTTTCAATCGTTATGAGTCTCCCAATTGAATAGAATAATTTTATAAACAATTGTCTTGTAAATGGAATTTTTAAAGCATTCTGAATGTAAAAATAAAGAAAAAAGTGTGCAAGACAATAAGAAACACTACCTGCCAAATAAAGTGAAGTTTTGTTGAAATCGGTTGAAAAATGTGGGAAATCCGATCCCATATATAAAGGAACACACACACAAACAACCTGGGTTTTATAATAAGTATAACTCGATATGAGTTGTCCCCCTTTCATTCTGGCGACAGAATCATGTTTTCAATTTGATTTGTGTAAAAACAGTTGTGTTTTTTCCAATTTTTGGCACTGTCAGAACCATCGCAGGGTAATTTTACACACTCTTGTGAAGTTTTGTTGAAATCGGTTGAAAAATGTAGGAAATCCGATCCAATATATAAACGTACAGACACACACACACACACAATCTGCGTTTTATAATAAGTAAGATACAAGCCTCCACAGCGAAATAATTCCACAACATGCTATCGACGTTGGATATTATGTATATTCACTAATACATATATATATGTGTGTGTGTGTGTGTGTGTGTGTGTGTGTGTGTGTGTGTGTGTGTGTGTGTGTGTGTGTGTGTGTGTTAAAAATTGAGTCATAAATAAAATATGTCTGTAAAAAGACAATAGGAATAAAGACAAAAGAAAAACTTCCCTTTATCAACGTGTTTCGTCCTCTGGTGGACTTAATCAAGGCAAATGTAACGATTTTATTTTTCGGCATGTATTTATAAACAGAAACATAAAAAATATCGTTAAGTTTTCAAAATTTTTAAATTTAAGAACGCTCAAAAATATTCTTAAGGTTAACTCTGAAAACTAAGGTTATCTATGGAGGATGCTAAGTGATGTAATTTAATTCCTAATAAAGGGAAGTGGGTAAAATATGTTGTCGTTGTTTTTTTTTTTTATTAGCGACAGATCTGTACTACAATCAAATTCCCTGAACATTTTATTTGTATCATAATCTTTTTCACTGTACGTAAAATTTGTACTGAAGTCATCATCTCTCTACGTAAAATTTGTCGCACAATCACTTCCGTTGTGCTCTAGATTTGTACCACGATCAGTTTGACTGTACGTCAGATTTGTACCACGATCAGTTTCACCGCACGTTATATTTGACCACGAACAGTTTCACCCTACGTTAATTTAGAACACGATGAATTTCACTGTATGTCAGATTTGTACCACGATCAGTTTCACTGTGCGTCAGATTTGTACCACGGTCAGTTTCAAGGCGTCAGATTTTACCACGATCAATTTCACTGTACGTTAGATTTGACCACGATCAGTTTCACCCTACGTTAGATTTGACTAGGATTAGTTTTATTGTGCGTTAGATTTGTACCACGACTAGTTTCACTGTACATTAGATTTGTACCACAGCCAGTTTCACTGTACGTTAGATTTGTACCCCGATCAAATTATATATATATACGCACACATATGTGTGTGTGTATTTGTATGTATGTGTATGAAGATGCACACCGAGGTCAACACCGAATGGAAACAGTCTGTTTCATACTTGAATACAATCTTCGTGGCCTGAAAAGTGCTTCCAAGCATGAAACAGACTGTTGCCGCTCAATGTTGATCTCGGTGTCCACTGTTATATTTACACACAAACTATCCCCGATATTGAGCACTTCTACCCGTAAAAACACCATAACTTAAAACTATATATTTTATCATATATATATATATATATCTTTCTCTTTGCTTCTCCCACTCACTCTTTCTGTATCTTTTTGTTTCTCTTATCGCCACTTCTTTCTTTTTCCTTTTAACCTTCTATTTCTATCATCTCTCTTTTTTTCCCTCAGGTTTATCTTCACTCCCATTCACTAACCTTCTCTTTCCTTTGTCTCATACTCTCGATTAATCTCTCTCCATTTCCTTCTCTCACCCCTATTCTTCCTCCGTCTGTTAGATTGCAGACATGGCAGTGGGTAATAAATATAGATAAAAGTCTATTAAACTAACTAATCACGCCATGATGTGCAATAAATATGTTCTCGATTCGTCCTTTATTTTTTTTTATTATTTTGACGCTTGGTCGATACAAGGCCGACTTGTACGTCACATGCCACCCCCGGTATGTATGTGTGCGTTCGTATGTGTCTGTGTGTTTATGTCTGTGCTTGTGTGTGCCTGCACTCGTGCGTGTACGTTTGCAGAGGAAGAGACAACTGTTATGTATACAGTGTAACCCGGATATAAGAGACCCGGATATAAGAGAAACCCGGATATAAGAGAGATTTTCTCTGGTCCCAAATTAGAGCCTGTGTTAATGTATACAAAATAGACCAAACCCGGGTATAAGAGAAACCCGGATATAAGAGACTTCTCCGGTCCCGACAACTCTCTTATATCCGGGTTACACTGTAATATCCTTCTGCAATCATTAAGGCTTAACACATCCGTAGTATGTCCCTATAATGAATAGAATGAGATAGATAGATAGATAGATAGATAGATAGATAGATAGATAGATAGATCCCCCACAACTGAAACTCTGAAATTCCCCTCTGGTTAAGAACCTCTGAGATAGATAGATAGATAGATAGATAGATAGATAGATAGATAGATAGATAGATCCCCCACAACTGAAACTCTGAAATTCCCCTCTGGTTAAGAACCTCTGAGATAGATAGATAGATAGATAGATAGATAGATAGATAGATAGATAATTAAAAGATCCCCCACAACTGAAACTCTGAAATTCCCCTCTGGTTGAGAAACTCTGAGATAGATAGATAGATAGATAGATAGATAGATAGATAAAGTTAACTGGACAGACTGAGCTAGATAGATAGATAAAAAGATAGACAGACCAATGGTTCTCAACCTTTTCTGTCCAGTGCACTCTTTTCACAATATGCCAGAACATCATCACTCGCTTTCCGAGATTTCCCAACTCAATAGGTGCATCCCAAATAATATGCATATATTATTAAAAATCCTCATTCTTTTCCATATTAGTACATAGACATTTACATGGATTATTTTTATAGAGCAGTTTTACAAGTTTAATAGCAATAGAAAATGTTGATGGATTTTAAAACTTTGAATACATGGACAATAATTTGTTTTAACTCAAAACTAATTATTAAATAAGTAAACTGTAGCAGACTTCAATAAACAAAACCTTTAATAAAAAGTCAGGATATTTAAATCGATTTACAATTAATGAGTAACTTGTGAAAAAGTAAAAGATTCCCCCACAACTTAAACTCTGAAATTATCCCCTGGTTGAGAATCTCTGAGATAGATAAAGAGATACAGATATATATGACTAATCCGAGATAGATCTATAGAAAGATAGATATTAACATAGATAGATAGATAGATAGATAGATAGATAGATAGATTCACAAAGAGAACTCAATACGTTTATACAGAGCATATGTAAATAAATTACATATAAGAGAAATTCAAAGATACCCCATATGTATAGCTATTCTCCCCGAAGAATTACCTTGCAATATATATATATATATATATATATATATATATATATATATATATATATATAAAGGTTACGATGGGTAAATTGTCGTCTAAATCACAGAAAAATGAAAATAACACTATCGCATTTTAACAGATATATTTACCGAAATTACACAAATGCATTTTGAAATACTAAAGTGTAAATTTATTCAATAAAATCGCCATTGGCTTCAACCACACCCGCCAGACAATTTTGGAATCTCTTGCAACTCTTTTGGATGATTTCCTTGTTTAAGTTGGTGAATGGTGTCATAATCAATGCATTCAGTTGATTTTTGGTCTTGCAAGGAGTTTTGGTGGTCCCTCGCTCAACTGCTCGCACGCATAATAATCAAAAGGGTTGCAGTTAGGTGGCCAGATGTAAGGGGAGAAATTATCTAACAGCCATGACTGGGTTCTCCTTCTTTTGCGGCGATTTGCAGAGTCCTGTTGCCAGACATCGGTCTTCCATCAGCACCCTCTTGAGCCAGGGTAGTATTACATCCTCAAGACACTTGATGTTGGCGTCCGTGTTAAGTCTGATGCCCAAGCCAACAAATTCGGGAGTTCTTTTCTTATCATAACGAACAGAGTGATTTTTCCGAGATGCCGTTCATTTGTAATCACCATTAGACTCATTGAACTCTTTCCGAGTCCTCTTCACTGTCCTCAGATTGACACCTAAATACGCTTAAATGTTGATATTGGAGCTTCCGGCAATTTAACCATCGCACCCTATATATATATATATAGATATATATATAGATAGATTATATAATTATATATTATTATATATAGATTATATAATTATATATTATTATATATAAATTATATAATTATATATAATTATATATAAATTATATAATTATATATATAAATATATATAAATTAAATATTTTATTTCCCCAGAAAATATATTTGTCCTTGTTCATCAGGTCACATCTCTAGTTATCTCGGAAAAATATATTTTCTGGGGAAATAAATTATAGTCATGGAACCTTCATGTTGTCTCTTTCTTGATTATTTAATTAATATTTGCTCTGGTGTTACATTGAGCTCTTAGGATTACATCCTCTTTGAAATTATCCACATAGATTACGAAACTCTTCATTACATTACTATATATATATATATATATATATATATATATATATATATATATATATATATATATATAAACAAATATGAGGATTCTCCCGGACAACTGTCGGCGTGAGACAAGGATGCGTACTTTCACCCACATTGTTCAACCTATTTCTAGCGAAAATCATGCTAGGGACCAGAACGACCATGATCCTTCAATCTCTATCGGTGATAGACCCGTCTGTAGCCTACATTTTGCAGACGACATTGATCTCATGGCAGGTAGAAGCAATGAGCTCCAAGCTTTGACCAACAAACTTGTTGAAAGAGCAGGAGCATACGGAATGGAGGTCAGTAATGATGAATAGCACAAACATAAAAACAATGGAACATAAAAACAATGGAACATAAAACCAATGCGTTTGTGCGGAAAAGCGTTTGTGAGTTATCAGGAACTTCTTCTCGCCACTGTCAAATGAAGAATTATGACGTAAAAGAGGACGGCCACGCAAAAACCGGTTGGACAATGTCAAACAATGGAGAGGTATGGCTGTACCAGAATTGCTGATGGCTGCCGTTGATAGACGTTTGTGGAGAAGATTAAGTGTGGCTCCTGCATTCGGATCCCCACTACGATTACAAAAGGATGATGATGATCTTTTATATATATATATATATATATATATATATATATATATATATATATATTCTTTATAAAGAATCCAACTTGTGCGATGGATTTCAGTGTGAACTGGTTTTCCGTTTTGGCCAGTTCGCACTCACTTTTCCATCTTAAGGTGTTGGAGTCGCTTTACATCAGGTCCAGGCAACCTGCTCTTTGTAAACAAAGAGATTGTTTGCTTGGACTTGCTGTTCTGCGCTTCTAGCAGCTTGGTTGGCATAATTTTTTTTCCCTTCCCTGTCCATTCATTCATGTCATCCATTTTTCTTTTCCTCATAATCTTAGTTCCCCGTTAACAGTTCTGACGAGAGGGGACGAAACCGGTCGACTGGTGTGTTTTGTTTTAAACTTATCATGGCCTACAATACAAAGTTTCTTGTTTTTAATGCCTTAATATATATATATATATAAACTATTTACATACATATTTAGAATGAAATGACTATTATATATAAAAGATAGTGCATGTTTGCCAGCAAAGAAGGCAGTCTCTAGTGTGAATTACGTATTGGGGCCGTCAGAATCAAACAGACGCATCAATTTAACCCTCTGGTTCATTGCAGTAGCAGAGGATGGAAAATGTGACACAAAAATTCGAACGGGCATAGCAATAGCGAAAGACGTCATCAAGAAACTAAGCAAAGTATTAAGGGATAGGAATATTTAATGTTAGTGAATGCTGAACAATCTCCTCACAAATGAAGAAGAGACCTGAAACGATAGAAATGTGATTTTGTGAATACCATAAACAAAACGTGTGAGCATCGGGAAAGTGTTAAGGAAAATAAGAAGTGCAAGGAAACTTATAAAATCAGAAATTAGAGAGCGGAAATGTCTAGGATACATAATGAGGAAAATAGGCTTGGCGAACTTAAAACTCAGCAACTGTGCGGAACGCCGTCAGTTGTTGTATAGGACCCATCGCACGTTGCAATGCGATCAAGAAACGCGTCGTTTTTCTTGCGCAAAAGAATCGAAGTGCTTTCTGGCGATTTTTCTGGTTTTCTTCAATTTACGTGACACCTATTTTTCAAGCTTCTTCGACTTTTCAGTTCGGTTCAAATTTTTGGAAAATGTTCCATTGTTTGCATCTAACTCTACTGTAGCCTCTCGAACAGTTGTGCAATGATTTGTCTCCATCAAAAGCCTTCAATTCAGACCAGTACTTCAACGGCAGAAGTACGTCGTTGATCTTAATTACTTTCGTACTTCAACGACAGAGGTACGTCGTTGATCTTAATTACTTTCGTACTTCAACGGCAGAAGTACGTCGTTGATCTTAATTACTTTCGTACTTCCACGGCAGAAGTACGTCGTTGATCTTAATTACTTTCGTACTTCCACGGCAGAAGTACGTCGTTGATCTTAATTACTTTCGTACTTCAACGGCAGAAGTACGTCGTTGATCTTAATTACTTTCGTACTTCAACGGCAGAAGTACGTCGTTGATCTTAATTACTTTCGTACTTCCACGGCAGAAGTACGTCGATGGACTTTACAATTTTTTTATTAGTTAGTGATACTAAAAATAATAACGAATTTAAAAGTGTAAGTAAATAAATATTAAATAGTCTAAGTTTGTTTTATACACTTACTTTTGGAAGAAGTGTATTAAAAGAAAGCCAGACGTGCTGTAAAATATTGTTACATTTCTCTGTATTTTTTTCCATTTATAATTGGCTCAAAAAGGACCACCAAAATAGAACGGTCGTAGTAAACGGCTGGTGATTCATTTTTTCAAATTTATAAATATATATTACAAATTTATAAATATATATTACCCTTGTATACTTTGTCTAATCAAAAAGGGTGGCTTCCACCCACGTACATTTAAAGTTGAAGCTCGTTTGATTCACTCACTTTCGTTTGATTTGACTCACTTTTAAGAGTATATAAGAACACTAGTCAACCAAAGAGAGACCGAAGGATCTTAGACGTCAGATCAAAGGGAGCCGGCTGGCTGCATGGAGGCAAAGAATGTAATAGTATTCGTTCTATTAATAGCATGCTTAGTAATAAGTTGAAAGAAGAAACAAGGACGCGTATGTACTCATACAGGGGTAGTCATCTTTCTGCCACCACCTATATCTTTATTGTCCAACTTCTATCTAAGGGGAGGTAACTCCAGTCATACTATAACAAAGAACGGAAGGGTTTGTGGCATTCACATGTGAAAGTCGCTAGCTTGCCTCCATGAGAGCGAAAGGTTTCGGCATTCTCAAGAACTACGTTGACAACTTCTACGACGACGAAAACTTTAAGCCTACCACGCCACCGCCGACCACGAAAAGGAAGCTCAAAGAAAACATAATGAAATTTCAAAAATATCTTTAAAGGCCTCAGTGAAGCACGTGGGTACCCAAGCAGAAAGAAAACTGAAAGACAATTCAAAATATTGTTAAAGGTCCCAGAGACGCTCGTGATATAAGCCAAAGTAGTTTTTTTCTCCTCTCTATTTAGGTGGGTACATCTTTTTGTAAAGAGTAATTTCTTTCTTTTTTCAACAGTTTTCGTATCACCTTCTAAAGGTTTGCTTTTCTTCATTATACCTCAAAAATTATACTGTAAACTTTTTAGAGGCTTTGATTTTGATGTGATGTAGAAGTTTAGCACTAGTCAGTCGCTAAGCTTCTGTTCAGTATCTACCCCTCCCTACGAGGGTTGCATGTGGCACAAGGCCGAGTTTAACGTGGGTTTCCCTAGCCCGTAGACTCGGCCAAAAAAATGCCCGTAGAACCCGTATAAACGGGATCGGGTTGGTCAACCTCCCCGAACGCGACTCTGCCCTTCGGCGGAGCCTCGTCCAAGTTCCTCTCTGCTCAGAGGCAGAGAGTTCGACCGTCAAGCCGAGAAGCTCGGCTTAATTCGCTAAGCTTCTGTTGGTATTTACTTGACTCCCACGAAGTCAAGATGTGACACAAGGTCGTTTAACGTGGGAGACCCGAGTGTTTCCACTCAAAGGCCACTGGTCAAAATTGGTCATAGCTTGTCCAAGCTGGTCAGAGCCTAGTCAAAGCTGGTCATGACTTGTCCTAACAGGCCCAGGCCGGAGCCAGTCCAAGCTAGTCAAAGCCTTGATCGAATCTCAGCCATAGGCCAAGAAACGATCCAATATTTGTCAAAAACCCCAGCCAAAGGCTCGTTATTCTCAGTTCGTGCTCGTTATTCTCAGTGACGAGTTATATAGGCTTTCTCTTGCACTTATGCAAATTAGGCATATTAATTTGCCAGTATCACTATAATTTTGTTCTGTTATCTTTCATTTTTCATAATAATGTGCACGAATGGAATTTTTCTGTCAGCTTTTTGTAAAAATGTTTTTGCTTTATTGTCTATGTAATAAATGTTTGTAACTTTCAAATTTCAAATGGAAGTTTCAAGTCTTGTTTGTCATAGTGTGCGCATTTTTTAATATTTGGAATAAGTAAAGTGACGTTCTCTCTTCTCCAATTTCCTCCCAGAAAGAAAATTTATTTTACTTAGTTACGTACTTCAATGGTAGAAGTACGTCAATGACTTTAACTTATTTACAAGAGTAAATTCACCACCGCGGAATTTTTAAACCGACTTTTTATTCATTTTTTTCTTGGCTGCAAGCAGAATAAAAAGTATGTTTAATAAAAAAAAATGTTATAAATATGCAATAAAAAGTAGAATTTATAAATGACTAGAAACATCGTTTCTAGTCATTTAAAGCTGTACTGCGATCGAGTTTAAACTCATATAAATTTAGCGAAAATCATGTTTTGACGTCTTAATTTCAAAGAATTAAAAATTGATAAAAGTCCAATTAGTATTTAAAAAATGTATTAAGTAGAAAGAATTCGCTTTAAAATGATATTTAATTTTGCACACGTTGCGTGATTTTATTCTTTTATTTTGAAACAATGTCGATACAAATAAAAACATAAAATCTATATTAATTTCTGAACAACAGCCTTCTTTTTCTTTTTTTCTTTTAATTTACATTAGCGTACATCGAAATTCTTATTTAGATTAAAGACAAACATGACAAGACAAGTCTTAAAAACTGAACACATTGTAATACAGTGTAACCCGGATATAAGAGAGTTGTCGGGACCGGAGAAGAAGTCTCTTATATCCGGGTTTCTCTTATATCCGGGTTTGGTCTATTTTGTTTACATTAACACAGTCTCTAATTTGCGACCAGAGAAAATCTCTCTTATATCTGGGTTTCTCTCATATCCGGGTCTCTTATATCCGGGTTACACTGTACTTAACATACCGGAGAGCAAGCGATGCGGTTTATTGTTCTTTACAGGTATTTTCAGTTAGGCTATAATGTTTTAAATGACACTTCTTTTTCTTTACGTTTCGTGTCCCCACGGGACGTAGGCGATCATGGCTCTCTACAATTTCCTATCCATTATGACTCTTAATACATTTTTTTCTTTTTGTTATTCCTTTTAAAAACCATGTTCTACCATCCATTTACTTAAGCTCGTCAAGTATTTTATGCGTTGTTTTTCTGTCCTGTGAGTATCCGATTTTCGAAGCTCTCCTTCCTCGTTATATGCCCTTAGAAATTTCAAATATCTCTTGCTGATGTTAAGTATTTGTTTCCTTTTTTTGTTTCTATATTCTCTAAAATTTCGTCTTTGCTCACATGTTCAGTCCGTGGTATCCTCAGCATCTTTCTGTAGAACAACATTTCTGTTGCTGAAAATCTGTTCTTAATCTCTGAGGAGATTTCCAATATTTAGTACCATACAGAAGCACAGATAATAGGTCAGTACGCTTTTCTTTGTTTCTAACTTTTTCTCTCTCTTAATACTCTGCTTAGCTTTTGGAATGCATCTTTGGCTATCTCAGTACGTCTTCGGATCTCAGTGACACTCTTTCTGTCCTCTGTTAGATCGCTTCCCGGATATTTAAATTTTTGTATTGAATTTATGGCCTGTTATAAAGAAAATAGCGTTACCTCCTTCATATAATCTCGACTTACCCTTCAAGAAAAACTCATTGTGGTTCACCACTAGGATCTTTGACTTGATTTCTCATTTATTACAAAGCCATTACATAATTCATGGGCGTTCACTATCATCACATATCATTCTTTGTTTTGTTTTATTTCAACAGCCACATAATTTTATTACAGTGAATGTTCGGTTTAAATAGCGGGAAATAACTTTTCTTGGTGTTAGAGTTTACGAACAATTCAACTCACCGTCATCATCTGTGCATAAGCAAACATTTTAATTTTAAAAAGTTTGGACGTTGTGCTCGTTTCAAATGGTATAAACACTTGTTAATAGCATTTGAAAATATTTTACTAGGAGCTTCATTGCTACTAGCCTGAACTATTCCCAATAGTCCACCATTCTCACATGGCACTTACTGTTTTTACTCTTCTCGAATTAATAAATTGGTACTTGTAATAATTACAGTAAAAAATTTAATATATATATATATATAAATATACAGTGTAACCCGGATATAAGAGAGTTGTCGGGGTCGGAGAAGAAGTCTCTTATATCCGGGTTTCTCTTATATCCGGGTTTGGTCTATTTTATATACATTAACACAGGCTCTAATTTGGGACCGGAGAAAATCTCTCTTATATCCGGGTTTCTCTTATATCCGGGTCTCTTACATCCGGGTTACACTATATATATATATATATATATTTCTGTAGTTCACTGCCAACAGCAAGCAGAAATATTTCTCCCCCCGATGATGGCCATTTCGGTCGAAACTAGTCGAGGAATCTAAATGGAATAATAATAATAAAAAAACGAAAGAATATTAATCTACAATCCAGTGTGTCTAATGATTTTTAATTTTTTAATTTTTATTTTCTTATTGTTCAATATATATATATATATATATATATATATATATATATATATATATATATATATGTGAGTTTTGTAACCCTAGGTTTCACGCTTTTGCGATGCGCAGACACTGACAGTGTAACCCGGATATAAGAGACCGGATATTAGAGAAACCCGGATATAAGAGAGAGTTTCTCTGGTCCCAAATTAGAGCCCATACTTACCTAAACAAAATAGACCAAACCCGGATATAAGAGAAACCCGGATATAAGAGACTTCTTCTCCGGTCCCGACAACTCTCTTATATCCGGGTTACACTGTATATACGAATGTGGTCTGAAAGGTTCATAAGCTGACTAAGAACTAGCGATGCTAGAACTGTGAAATCTTGCAAGCATTAATTTAATCTCTTCTTAGTAATAGCTGTATTTATTTCCAGGTACGAGGGTGGGCTGAAAAGTTCATAGGATGGCTATGAAGGAGTGATGCTAGAGCTGGGAAATATTACATACATCAATTTCAACATTTCTTATCAACAACTGCATTGTTTCTTTCCAGGTAAACTGACATCTGCCAGTAAAAGAAAGACTTTAAAAGTAGGAGGATGGGTTGAAAAGTTAATAGGCCTTCAGAGAGGAATGATGCTAGAGCAGTGAAATCTTGCATGCATTAATTTCAACTCTTCTTATTAATAACTGCATTGTTTCTTTCCAGATCCGAGGATAGGCTGAAAAGTTCATAGGCTGACTATGAAGGAGTGATGCTAGAGCAGTGAAATCTTGCATGCATTAATTTCAACGTCTTCATCGAAAGAGTTAAGTAAAAGTGTAATGTGTAAAATGAAAATCCAACATTCAATACACGAATATATATACAGTGTAACCCGGATATAAGACCCGGATATAAGAGAAACCCGGATATAAGTGAGATTTTCTCCGGTCCCAAATTAGAGCCTGTTAATGTATATAAAATAGACCAAACCCGGATATAAGAGAAACCCGGATATAAGAGACTTCTTCTCCGGTTCCGACAACTCTCTTATATCCGGGTTACACTGTATATACGTGTGTGTGTGTGCTTGTGTGTGTGATTTATATATATATTATTTATATATTTTTATGTGCGGTACTTATTAAAAAAGCGCTCAATATCAGTGATAGAGCTAAAATATTTTGTTTTATGGATGTCTGCGCATCGCAAAAGCGTGAAACCTAGGGTTACAAACTCACATCCATATATATATATATATATATATATATATACACGTATGGATATATATATATGTGTGTGTATGTGGATGTATATATATATATATAAAATTTATTCGTAAATTATTACATGACCATGTTATAAAATCACTACAAAAATAGCCATTTTTTTCAACACTTCTGGTGTCTTATCAAGTGATGGTGTTAGATGTAAAATAAAGAGTTTATTCTACATTTTCGAATAAATTACAGTGTAACACGGATATAAGAGAGTTGTCGGGACAGGAGAAGACTCTTATATCCGGGTTTCTCTTATATCCGGGTTTCTCTTATATCCGGGTCTCTTATATCCGGGTGACACTGTATATT